ATGGTGCAGTAAGGCCCTCCCTCCCTTTCCTGGCAATCAAACAACTCACAGTGTTTGACATGGTGTGCCTGCCTTACTGTCTACAGTAGACAATAGGTGCTAGCATTTTAAACTGACCTTTAATTCTTCCGAACCAGCCCATTACTTCTGGCTTGTTGGTTATACAGAGAAAACGAGCAACGAAAGCGTTCGTCATAATTTCCACATCTCGCACTGAAAGCAGTCCATGGAAAAAAGTCTTGAAAATGATGACCCATGTAATCATCTTACTCCATGAGGGTTCCTTCTAATCAGCTATGAGGTTCACATGTGCTGTGAAGCTCTGGAAAGAAATACAAAGCACCTGTATTCTTCTGTACTTTAAACTTAAATGAAGGAAGTTAAATATATCTGTAGCCTTACGTACATCTTAGTTCATTTACCACTAAAAGAAATAGTCAAAACATTTTTTAAAAATTTATTTCATAAGCCAATATATCTAATGATGATGACATTTTTCTCCATAAAGTAGGTAAGCACTGGTTTTATTTGGGAATAATCAACAGGTTTGAAAACTGCCTTGATATATAAACTAAGGATTGACTATTTTAGCAAATGAAACTGATTTGGGGAAGAAGTTAATACCTTAAAATGAGCCAAAATTGACATAAGAGTAAGAAACCATAATGATTTCCCTCAACATACCACCAGCTTAGAGTATGTCCTTAGAATTTCCTATGCATGGAAATGACTTTTTCTGTGCCATTTACACTCTCAATCAGATCCTAAAGACACACGTTCAGAAGATAACCAGGCAAAGTCAGGGACACAGTTTGTGGCAGGACAGTCTCTGGGTACAGCTGTGGTCTGCATATACACAAAACCTGTGACCTTGGCCAATGATCAAGTGAACAATGATCCAATCAAGTGAGCTAATTGGCCCATTTTTGCAACTGTGTGAATATGAACCACATTTCGTCTTGAATATCTGACCCAAGTAAACTGGAAATAGTCATAATGGCATTGACATTCAACAACAGTTGTTATTCTCATGACAATAAAAGCAAACCAATTTCCTTACTTATTAAATAACTTCTTAGAAAACACACATAGGTGTTATCTACTATAATCTGTAACATCATTGTCACTGAATTCTTTAAGAATTAGAAAGGAAATTCTAATGGTGAACCTTTGGTAGCTGGCAGTTTCTAGCAAAGAGGACTTTGAAATCATAGTCCACGATGAATACTGATTAACCACTAAGGTAACCTGCCCTCAAAGCTTGCTATAATTAAGCACCGCCTCTCTAAGCTTTGGTTTCTTCTTATGTGAAATGGGGTAGTGCCTACCTCACTGGCTTGGGAAGAGTCATTGATATAATTAGGCTCTCAGACACTGCTGAACACATAATGCTTTCCCCTTCTTAATTAAACTTGCAGTTCACCATAAAGGTGTTTAAAGATTAACATGGTAAGATCAGCCAACCTCTCCCATCGTCCACAGGGTGGGGGCTGCCAAGAGTGCACAGCAAAATGTGGAATCATAACAACTACCATTTGCTGAGTGTTCATGTATGTGCCACGGGCACTATAATGAACACTTAAGAGTCTCAGTCAATCCTTAAAACCATCATCTCCATTTAAATGATGTGCAAACTCAGGCAGTTTAATACTGCACCATTTCTACAGCTGAGAACTCTGAGCTCTCAGAATTGATGCAATCAGATCAATATATAGGCAAAGCACCTGTATGAATATCCATGGAAGTTTCCAGAAGGGAAGGCTGTAATTACCCTGGTTGGCCACAGACTTCTAGCCTAAGTTTCTGTGCAAAAGCTCCTGCTTGGTGAATTAGCAGGTGTCAGTAGCAGGTATGCAGGGTAGAACTCTGGGGAGTGAGGGGAGGTATGTATGTAAGAGGGTGTTCTGGAATAGTGTCTGTTTCTAGCTCTGGAAGATCAAAGCTTTTGGTGAAAAGAAACTATTACTCTCAAAACTTACCCTGGTTCCTTACTGATCATGCCCAATAGCCACGACTAAGGGGCACGGAAAATAAAAGGTGAGAAGCAAAATTTAAAAAAAAAAAAGTTATATACAAAAGGAGCCACAAACTAATCCTATTAACCTTGGAACACCGTTGGTTTTACTGAAGCAAAGTAAATTATATGAAGATAAAAAGATGTCCCTTTTGATATCAGGACAAATTACCTCAAATTTTAAAAATCTATGTAAACAGAAAACAAGTTTACTAAGTTATTCACTACTAAAATAAGCTCTTCATGAACTCACCTTCCTCATCCCTCCAACTCATCTGAGAAAATTCTTCCCATAAACAATCTGTAAGCCCTAGTGCACAGCTACCCCTAAAGTGGCTTCAGCCAAAACTCACCACGGTAACTGTTTGCTTACACACCTTATGAAAGATTTCTTTGGAACAAGGGGCTAAAGGCTGTGAAAATCGTTGCAGTAGGTTAAAGCTGAGCTATGTAGGATTCAACAAGATGTGTGTTAGCTATATCTGGTCCAGACCATCCCTTTGGTGATTACATCATTAGTGACAAAACAGGCTTTTTGGAACACTGGCCACGGTCAGATTTGCACCTCCCCGGTAGCGTACACAGAACTGTTGGAAGCTCCATCTGGATGCCGGTTCCTACAGCTACCCCCATCCTCCCAACCACTGATCTTCATCTGAAGAATAGTTGCCATCCTGGTTAGAGGTGCGTGCATGTCAAAACCGAGGAATTTAGAAGCTGAATTTTAAATTCGCAGATCTAAAATGTTGATTGACTTAAATATGCTACTAAAAAAGAGCCAAACATCAACTAGAAGATATCCTCAGCTACAGCTTAATAAGAGTGAAACCATACATATATAGAGAGAGACACACACACAAAACACAAAGTTTCACATTCTGCTTATCACTTGGTATCTCAGTACATGAAATACACAATTCAGATAATGGGCAGCATTTCACTAATTCTATCTATGCCTACCCATATTTCTTCTTTACTTTTACTAATAGGCTTCTAAGACTGACAATTCCTAATTAAAATTAAAAGAAAAACTGTAAATTTCAAAGCTAAAAGTCAGCTTGTCAGCATGAAGTGTTTTTCATATCATATATATTTAACTTACTTCACAACTTCTTTTGGGACTATATTATACCCAGCTTAACACAGGAATTCAGTTTATATACCAACAGAAGTTTAAAAAAAAATCCCCAAATTGCTATTTATTCTTTTCCTTAAAAAAAATCTTTCTTTCTAATTAATCATACAAAGAACAATTTCTAATCAGTCTTTACGTCTTTTCTTCTTTTTTTTTCCCCAGTCTTCACTTCTAATCAAAAATTTAAAAAGCCAACAAAAAACAAAATCCCACATCATGAAAGTCATGACCAAAGCAGACTTCAATACTTCTCAACTACTGGGGAAAAGCAGTAAAATTTATTGTACTAAAAGAGAAGTTACCCTTTATGAATCCCAAATTTAGAGAAATCATGTAGCATTCCATAGCTAAAAATAAATAAATACAAATAAGGGAAGGGAATATATTTGTTACTAAAAATTTGAGTCTAATTCTATTTAATTGGAAGTTTATTGGCAGAAACTCTAATAAACATGATAACTGAAAATGTGGCTTGGGACTATAAAAAGCAGATTTTTACCAAAGTTAAACGTCAACTGGATTCTACAATCACATTTAGTCTAGGAGCTTAGGCTAAGGACTTAGGGTGATCTCACTGTACAGGTTATGATTTTACTATGAAATATTTTAATTCAAACATATCAGCAGTAGTTAGCCTGCAGAGTATCTACGACACAAAAAAAACCCACAGAAAGTTAACTTTGGGCAACAACTTTTATGAAAGTAAAAATCTTTAAAAATTCTAAAGTCATAGAAAATCAGTCTGAATGTATTTTAATCATGGAGAAAAAATTAATGGGATTTAAACTATCAAATCTATTATTCTCCTGTGAATACAGTGTGTATCTATTTCCTTCAAAATATTTTAGAGCCAGTCAACAACCCAAAATAAAAATATTATTCCTCTCTCAATTCAAAATGTAATGAATCAGTATTATCTTAGCCAACAACACAGTAAACTGCATTATGTCAGATATATAAAACTGGCAGAGTAATCATCTGAAAGCTTTAAAATATTAGAACCAAAGGCTTTCTGTGTTTGTAAATTAGTGGCTTTTGTGGGGGAAGGGACTAAGGTACTTAAAACACTGTAACATCTTAAAATCTACAACTAAAGGAAAAAACTACTAATGCTAATTTTCTAAAAGTCACAAATTATAATAACGCAAAACAAATTTGTCATTTTTGCTGATTTTCAATGTTTATACATGCAGTATAAATTACAAATATGTATACCATTACAACACCATCTAAAAGAAAACAATGATGTATAAAATCTTGATGATAAATAAAATTATTGCATTTAATGTCATTTTCTTAAAAAGCAAAGTCATCAAATTCCTTAATGTCATATTAAACGTAAACAATACCAGTTCAGACTAGAAGAAATGTATGCCAATACCAGCTTCTGAAAACAAAAATAAAGAGGTTAAAGCCCTGCCAGTTTGTCTGAATTAGGTCAGATAATCATGGAAACAAAGGAATATTTAAAATTATTTATTTTATCATTATGCACAATGAAGGAAAGCATTATAGAGAGCAGAGTTCTTTCCCACCATAAAATTATTTACACCCATTTATTTAGCTAGAAACACTAGCTAGAAGAGGTACTGGTATATTCCATTTGTAATAATTTCTCTACAGCAAACAAGTGTCGTACACTTGGAGCATGTTGAAAAAAATATTGCCTCATAGGTCTTTGTTTTTTTGAGTCTCAATCACAAGAGCTCAAGGTACTTTGAGAGAATCCTGGTCTCCTAGATGGTCTGATGAATGCAATAAAATCAAGCAATGTGTTTGTATTCTGAAAACAGTCTTAAATCCATATAAATGGTGCTTGAATTGCGGAGCTCGTATCTCTCCACCGGCGCTATGGCGCGGGAAGGACATCCGTTATGAAAGCTTCACGCCAATTTTGCTCTGTTCCTTTTTCATTAGCCGCTGTGCCTCCTTCTCCATTTTCTTCCTTTGTTGTTCTGCTGCTCTCTTTTCTCTGTCTGCTATCTTTTGCTGCCTGAACAAAATATATTCCTAGTTTTACTTTTAGGAAATACCACACAGGTAAAATGGAGAATAAATTCCAGACAGAAATAGCAGTGCCTTTTTACCAACATCACATCTTCCTTCTCACTGTTTGGAAAATTTCAGATTTTCCAAAATGGTATTTCTTTTAATCCTTAGAACAGGACTTACACGATAAAAGAGTATTGTCTCTATGTTACAAAAAGTAAAATGAGACTCAAAGGCTAAGTGACTTATCCAAAGTCACAAGATTAAGTACAAGGAGAAGAACCCACATCCTCTAATCCCTCTACTTCGGATTATTTTCACTAAAACACTACCTCCATTGGACTATACCTTTCTGATACCATTCTGAAAAGATGTTGAGAAACCATTCTGATGTTGAGGACTAAATCTCCTGTTATTATAATCGTTAGAAAAACTCTGCTAAAGGAAGTCAAGAACACAAGATGTGCAGAACACAATGCCCAAAGAAAACAGAAAAGCAGCACAAGCCTCCCAACTGGAAGCTAGAAATCTATTTAAGGATTAGCATTTGGCCAGCTCTCCTGAGGAAGGGGCAGAACGGTGGGTACTTGCCGATTACACATTATGAGATCCTTCCCTCCTCCCCAGCCCCTCCCTGACTCCACGAGCTAGAACCACTAGCCTCTCTTCTGTTACTGATCAACCTGTGTGGGGAATGGGAGTAGCAGGGGTGACGAGATAGGACAAAGAACAGAAGCTGGTCCTGGATCTGAGGCTTAAAATATGAGAAAGTAAGTGAAGAAGCATATAAGGTTGAGGACGGAAGCTTCCTCAGGTCACAGTTGTACATGGGATGGGCAACATCAGGTTATAAAACAGAAAAATCCAGTGTGGATTAGCTATGTATGGGACAGCTCAAAGCAAGCTCTGGCGAGCAAAATGTATATGCCATTCTCATCATAAGTGCAATGAGCAGAGGTGCCTGTGACCAAATTTCAAGAAGTGGAGAGACTTATTTTAGGCAGTGTTTTCACATTCACCAAGAATAGGTTAAAAGAAATCTACTTTTCACTAGCTCTGATCACTTCCTAGAAAAACTGATAATCTGCCCCCAAAAGTCAAAATGCTGGTGACAAAAGGGAGCTAGGAAAAAAATTATCAAGAGCAGGCTAGCTTACAGACAAACAAGATCTCCAAGCTTTCACCGGGTCACTAGGTAAAGTATAAACACCAACAGTTAATGTTCCTGGAAAATGAGGGAATTTAGAGATGACTACAGACAAAATCTGTTTTTCCCTCTCCAGATATACACCTGGAATCACTGAAGTATCAGAATCTCCTTCCTTAACTTTACTGATTCCAGTACTGGGCAGTATTAAAGTGGCAATGGGAAACAGACTGAGTGAGAGGATACGGAGCATGACTACACTTGGAAACGTCGCAGTGTTCTTCTGGGGGCAGTAACAGCACACGAGTCTTCCCCGTCTCTTTGACTCTAACTTATGCAAGTGGTAGCAGGAAGCATGTGTATTAATGACTGATAAGCTCCCTCTCCCAAGCTGTCATGTAACACGGAGCACTAGGTTTAGGGTTTTGTTTTTAGTTTTTGTCTTGTTTCGTTCAGAGTGCAAGAAAGTAGCATGGAAAAAATGTTTTGGTACAGTGAGTATTAAGATACTTGTGAACTCATCAACTTTGTAGTGCTGTTGTTAAGATGAATGGATTCAGAATGAACAGACCCCTCCCTTATCCTATGGTTAATGACACAAAAAATCACTAGAACCCCCCAAAATGTTCTAAAACACTTGGACTTCTATATCTATGATTTATCCAAAAGAATAAAAGAAATGGATCTTTTTTTGATGACCCATGCAACATAAATGTTGCTGTTTACAATTTTCAAAGTACTCCTTTCACAGTGAATAATGATTAAATAAAAACTAAATATTTAAAGCTCTCATAACTTTACTGACTGTTAAAATGTGACACAACCTTATTCAAAAAAAGCTGAAAATAGGAAGGATAAGACCAAAAAAAAAAAAAAAAAAAAAGGTCAGCCATAACTCAACTACACCCTCTGCTGGCTCTTCAAGGTAATTATAGTTAATTGATGAAGACAAGGCAAAATACAAAAATGAAATCAGATTGTTTTGTTATTTATTTTCTATCCCTATTATAGAAACAATCTTTAAAAAAAAAACTTACATCACTGTGTTTCATCTTTAAAAATAAAAAATGATTTAGATACATTTAAATATCACCAGTGATGATGGTCACAAACTTTGTTAGGGTAAATACTCTGTTTACTCTTTGACCTAATGCAACAGTAACAAGAATTAAGTTTATTGCTCACAAAAACAAAGAAAAAAGAACATAACACCAAAAAAACAAACTTGAAGACCTCAGGAATAATATTTTCTTCTCGGTAGAATGGATAGGACCTGACATAATTATTTACCTTGTAGGGCTTTATGAGCGCATCAATTGAACTATATATACAATTGTAGAGTGCTATGTAAGTTATTTCCATTTGAATGTGCAGTGCTGGGTACTATTCTAGGCCACAGGGAAACAAAAATAGAGGTATAAGTTCTGATCTAGAGGAATATATAGTGGTGGCTCATGTTTCAAGAGATAACTATGCTTTACAGGGAACATAATACAAAGCAAATAATATGATATGATGTATAAATATAGAAGATCTCATTTGCCATTAATCTTATTACTCTTTTGTTCCTCTAAAACTTTAAATTCTTGGTTTCTGTGACGTTTTAATCATATAAAATAGTATATACAGTCTGAAATTTTTAAAAAAATCTTCTATTACCTAAGCTTGAGTGAGAAAGAATGAAGAAAAATACAACTTTTGGCATAATTAGCTTTCCTGACCTCAAATGCCACATGAACAAATTGAGTTCTTCTACTCAAGCTGCAATGTAAGTATGACTAAAATACCTCAGAACTTCTTCTGCTTGCCAGGCCGCATCTTCTTCTTCTTCCCATGCGTTGGTATTTTCCTGCCAGGTATCTAAGTCACCTAACTCAGGCTACAACAAAGTACAAAACAAAATTATGATAGTAAAGAGCTCCTCTTTCTCCACTTAGCAGTCCAGGGGAGTGTCTTTTACAACATGGGTCAGACCTCGTCACTCCTCTGTGTCTTCTTCACGTCCTATATAAGGCCTGGATGACCAGGCGCTGGGTCTGCCTGGAACTGAGCTGTTTCCGGGGACACGTGACTTCCAGTACTCAACGGTCCTGGGCAGGTCCAGCTTTCTTCCTATTTTATGTTTTATAATGGTTGTTTTTTTCTGCCTACTTTAAGTGGGAATGGACAAGAATAGGAAGTTTCTTCTTCCCATTTCTCTCCTTTCAGTGAGAGGAGAGGGTAGGGGTGGGGGCAAGAGAAGAGACTGACTACAGATGGAATTGGAGATGCCGAACTACTCGGTGCAAAGATGAACCACAGCACCTGAAGTTTCCAAATTAGCACAGCCATTTTCATGTAAGCATAAGTGATTTATAGATTTTTCAGTGGTTCTTACTAGGTGGGCCTAAGGCAAAACAACAAACTGGACAAAATTTACTCTTCACCAGAGTAATTCCATATAGTGAGTTTTTTTTTTGTTTGTTTTTTTTTTTTTTTTGGCCTGTCCTACTTACCTGACCCCAGTAGTCTGGCCTTTCACTACTTCTTCCATTATACTTTCCAATATCTCCCAGGCTGGACCTCTGAAAGTTCACTTTTTCTTCCACAAACCAATAAAAATGCTCATTCTGGAGTGTTTAGTTAGGTACGGAAGTGACTATGAGCATAAAATAAGTGGCACCAATCTATGAATAGATTTAGTATACTTTTGAGCACTTATACTTAAAACTGAAATAAAATGTGTGGTTTTCTCCTCCTAACCATAAACGTAATACCATTCTCTGTTAAAACTTTCTAGTGTATTTCTGATAATCTCTTTAATATAAGTCTCTAAAAGTAGAATACCAAAATCAAATAAAAAAATTTTTTTCAAGCCACTGAACCAAAATTCAAATGACCCTCTTAAAAACCTATACCAACTTATCCTACTGACAGGAACAGGTACAAGTCTTCCTTCCCTGTACCTTTGTCAATACTGGTAATAGTCTTCTTTCCTCTTTGCTAATTGGTTAAGATTTGATAATGATGTACTGTTATTTTACTTTGGATTTCTTTGAGAAGTAATAAGATCAAACTTTTCTTCATGTTATTAGGCTAAGTCTATTTCTTATTTGTCAATGTATCCATTTTTCCACTGAGGTGTTTGACTTTCTGTAATCAAAACATTTAGACATAAAAAAAGTGAACTAAAACCACAAAGAGAGTGATATCTGATCCTTTAGTAGAGATGGCCTTTCAAATTAAAAAGTTTTAAAGGATAAGATAGGTAGGGCTGCTACATAAAAACTAAACACAGGGCACCTGGGTGGCTCAGCTGGTTAAGTGTCCAACTCTTTTTTTTTTTTTTAAACATTTTATGTATTTTTTTTTGAAGATTTTTATTTATTTATATGACAGAGAGAGATCACAAGTAGGCAGAGAGGCAGGCAGAGAGAGAGAGAGAGAGGTGGAAGCAGGCTCCTGCTGAGCAGAGCGCCCGATGTGGGGCTTGATCCCACGACCCTGGGATCATGAACTGAGCTGAAGGCAGAGGCTTTAACCCACTGAGCCACCCAGGCACCCCAAGTGTCCAACTCTTAATCGCAGCTCAGGTCTTGATCTCAGGGTTGTGAGTTCAAGCACCACACGGACTCCACGCTGGGCATGGAACTTACTTATAAAAGAAAAAAAAAAAAACCTAAACACATCGGCCTGTCAAAATATCCAAACCAAATTATAAAGCCAACAACAAATCAAAAAATTATAAAAGACAACAGAAAAAAGTTAATATCCTTAGTATAAAAAGCTATTACAACAACACGAATGATTAAACTCCAGAAAAAAAACAAACCAGAATATGGAATTTAAAAGAAGAAACTAATTGGTAGAATGGGTGGTAAGATATTTTTAGAGTAGAGCACAATGTGCGGTAGATTACCATTCTCGCCTAAGCAATGCCCCTTATTTCATCTGCTGAGAGGAAAATACGTGAAAATAGCACTGAAGACATTCTCCATCTATCCTATTTACCCTTTCAACTCTGTAAGGAGGTATATATTTACAACTTCATAAGCTATACTGGTGTTATAAAAACTTGTAAGTAAGTGGGAAACATTTACTAATTCACTGGGTAAGTCTGAACCGCTTTATCAATTAGGATCAAACACATATGAATAAAGTAGAAAATTTAGAAATATGAAATAAAAAATTAAACACGCTGTGCTACTTTAGAGGAATATCTATGGTGCTATTGTGTTCTCATAGCATAATGTAAATGCACAGGAGGAGGGGCACCTGGGTGGCTCAGTTGGTTAAGTGTCTGTCTTTGGCTCAGGTCATGATCTCAAGGTCCTGGGATGGAGCCCCACACTCTCTCCACTCATGCTCTCTCTGTCCTCTCAAATACATAAATCAAATCTTCAATAAAAATAAATAAATGCAGAGGAGTTACCAAAATTTCCATTATTTACGGATGATCATTTATTTAAGACTGCACTTTCCCCACTAGAATGCATTTTTTTGAAGCAAGGACTCTGCCTGTTTTTCTCACTTTCCACTATAGTACTAGCACCGAGCACCCTGTCTCGCATTAGTAGGAATCATTTTTGACCAATGAATTAAAAACATACATAAACCATCCATAGAAACTATATGAGATAAAGAATGTTGATTGTTTTAAGCCACTAGCTGTGGGGCTGTTATATAATAATAACATAATAAATTAGTCAACAATTATTAATCAATAATCTTGCAATCAAAACATACTTAAGCTTAGATCCGCAGAGAAGTCTGAACATTGTAGGTTTTTTTTTTTAAGTTATGGAGAGTTCTTTGATGATCATTATGACTATCTGGAGTGCCAGACTGAAAGTTTTCTTTTTAAATATTTTATTTATTTGAGAGCGAGACAGGGAGAGAGAGAGAGAGAGAGAGCACGCACAAACAGTGGGGAGAAGCAGACTCCCCGCCAAGCAGGGAGCCAGATGCAGGGCTCCATCCCAGGACCCAGAGATGATGACCTGAGCCTAAGGCAGATGCTCAACAGACCGAGCCACCCAAGTGACCCTGGACATAGGTGTTTTTAAGAAAATTCAAAGCTGATTCTGAGATACTTCCAATGTTGATTACACTACTTTTGTCCTTCAAATTGATGCATTTAAATCAAACCTACTACAAGTCAAAATATACTTTAAATGTAAGTATAACCTACTAGGGAAACAATTCATGACTCACTTAAAAATACCCTGCTTTTAAGTTTAAATTTCAGTGGTAATCTCTTTAAAGGTCACTTTTTAAAAAAAAATTATTTTCTTTTAAAGAGGGAAAGAGAGAAAGCATGCAGGTGCACACAGAGGCAAAAAGGAGAAGGGCAGAAGGAAAAGGAGAGGGAGAATCTTCAGCAGGTTCCATGCCCAGCGCGAAGCCCAAGGTGGGCTCAATCTCACAACCCTGAGATCATGACCTGGACCAAAATCAAGAGTCAGGCACTCAACGAATTGAGCCACCCAGGTGCACCTAAAGGTCACATTTGTTAAGTAACATACTGTATTTATCTTTTATGTGTACAGTGGGACTCTGATATTAGTAGCTGATGTAATTTACAATCTCTTAAAAGGATAAGACTGGCAAAACTCAAGATTAACGTCTCTCATCTGCCAAGCCTGTTATGAAGCACAGAAGTACAAATATAATGTTCACTTTGATTTTCTTCTTTCAAGGAAACAAAACAAACCCTTGCCTATATATTATTAACATACTTACAGATTGATGAATGAAAGGCATATCCTGTGTAGCTGCTAATCTACTAGAGAAACCTGTGCTACCATCTGGGATGCCAAAATTTAATGGTTCCCTCTTCTTAATAATGATCTGAAAGATAATTGAAATAGAATCATAGGAATATTTTATGCATTATATAAAAATAGACAAGATAATTAAGTGACCAAAGTATTCTGTAATTATTTCAAATATGCCCTACCTTTCTTCTTTTAAAATTTATAATGTTAAGATTTTTTTTTAAGTCTGTAAAGACTATCAAAATTCCTAGGCAATTGTCACACAAATCACTTACATACTAAGAAAAATTCCATCTTCCTTTTTCTAAAAAAAAAAAAAAAAACAAATTTTCCTCTTCTCTCTCTAGACCCACAAAATATAAGTTCACACTTTTAGTCACCATATTAAATAAGAACACATGTCACATCCTACAAAATATGGCCGCTCTCTTCATATGGTTATCTATGAATCCATTTGCTCTTTCAAGGCAGCAGTGGTAACTTTGTAGCTTAAAAACATTTTCAGTCTAACTAATTTATTAAGGTACTATTGTAATATTCTAGGTTCCTCTTAAGACAGCAATTACTTCCAAAATATAAGGTATTCATCTAGTAATACACACAAACTCCTTGAAAAATACACAATTTTATGCTCTTTAGCACTGAGACATTTGAACAAATTGACAAAATCCTGAGTACAGAATGTAAACGTTATCAGCCTTGAAATTATAAAAACAAATTAATAGCTGAAACTGGTGGGGAGGCAGAAGTGGGTAAGAAACCCTATTAAGGAATGGTGGAATAAATAATGTCCTCATTTTATAAACTGCATTTTTAAGAAATATTTTCTATGCATGACTGAACAAGAAATGGAACCCTAAGCATGCTTTTTTATTAGTTTGTTTTTGTTTTATTTTGTTTTGTTTGTTTTTAAATAGCAGGGTGACTAGTGAGGTAGACTGGAATAACAACATCATAATGTTAGGAAGAGGGGGAAGGGCAGCGAGGGTAGTATGAAATAAACCCCCATCTACCACAGTATGAAATCAATGGACAATGTCTGTGATTAGCAAATCAAGGCATAGCAACATAAGCATATTACATATAGATATGATTTTAAAAAACATTATAAGCCTAAACAGGAAAAGTTATCAGTGGTTGCTTCTGAGAATTAGAAGTGTCCAAGGGGAATGATGGGGCAGAAGTCCTTTGCTTCTCATTATAAGCTCTTCTATTCTTTGATTTAAATATTTTTTTAAAAAATACATGTACTATTTTTGATAAAAAGAAAGGAAAATATTCAGTCACTATTCTTTTCCCAATAATTCCCTCCACCTTTAATTGATCTTCCAGACCCAATTCAAAAGGGATTAAGTAAAGTATGGATGACTATCATAAGCCCACAACAATTATTCTGTTCTGAGAGTCCTGCATCATTTTATAATGATTATCAATAATGGAAACTACACTTACCAGTTTGTAGGCATCACTAAACTGGGAACTCTTTTCAGGTCAGAACTTTATCTTAATCAGCTTAGTCTCTATAGCAGAAACTGCAGTCTAGAATCTGGTCTATGGTTGGATTTCAGTAAATGCATATATAACTTTAAAAGACTTGGGGGTGCAACTTACTAGATCTACGTCTAGGTCACTTGAATATGTAAGCTTGTTTAATATGTTAGAAAACACAACAAACTGATTATCAGAAATAGGATTTCTCAGAAATACTAATTGTACTGTCTGATTTAAATATAGGAAGCTGAAAAGCAGTTTAATTATTTAACCTCCCAAACCACAAATCTTTTACATACTTTCTGAGTTTTCCTTATAGTTGGTGTCATGTCCTTAAAATAGTCAGGTTCCAGTTGTTCCAAAGCATTTTGCTGTGTTGCTACATTCCCATTGCCTCCTTCAATCTTTACACTTGTGGGGGCGTCTTCATCCCAGGAAGTCCACTCTTCAACATCAGTCTACATTGAATCCATCAACAGTGTCAACCATAAAGGGGTAACCTAATCAATATCTCATTCATTAGAAAAACAGGCTTTCTAAAATTCTGGTTTTCAAATTTTTTGACCAACAGAAAAACATAAATTTTATAGAACATACCAAAACTAGATCAAAAGTTTATAAAAACACTTTTACTAGAAGTTAGACATTAAAAACAAAAAAATGAAACAAAAGCAAATGCTTTAAAACCTGAACTGACATTTAGAACTATAGTCCAAGAAAGAACATTGAAACTTGCATCCTAAGCCTAATTGGGTTGATTGCCTGACTTAAATAAAAAACAAAACAAAAAAAACATTCTTGATAGAATTTATATAAGACAGAGTCTTAAATATAATCTTCAAAATGTCCATGTTTATTCCATAAACAATCAGTAAATATCAACTCACACGGAATAATATAAATGTTATAATTATCTAAGACTTTAAAATAGTTATAAAAATACTTTACAAGCAAAAGCAAACACTCTTGAATCAAATCTATGGAAAAATAAAATAGGAAATTTCAGCAAAGTAAATAGAAAATACTATGAAGAACCAAAAAAAATTTTAGCATTAAAAAATGTAACAACAGCAAAAGCCTGACCTGACTACCAAATTAACTTCATGACATATTAATTAATGATCTGCAGTCCAGTTTGAAAACCATGGTTCTGGAACACTTATTCAAACTTAAAAAAAAAAAAAAAATTACCTGTTTAGGAACTGATGAATAATCAACTGTAGTTGGCAGAGTTATTTGGTCTCCACTTAATTTCCGTCCTCTGCCAGATCTAAAATAAAAATGAAATAACTTATTTCAATAATTACCCAAACAAGTCAGGTAGAAGCACAATGGACAGTAACTGGAGGTTTATAAAAGAAGATCTTTTATAATTTTACAATTATTTATTTTAATAATTAAGAGTTGCTCATTAACATATGAAAAGAAAAGGCATGCATCAAATATTTTTTAAATGTGTTTAAAATCTTGGGAAGGACAACAAAACTGCTTTTTGGCTTAGGACTCAGAATTATAGATACACTCAGGGAGAATATAAAAATAAAAACAAAAATGCAAAGTGATTTCAAACTATATTCCTTTAAACCACACTCTGTTGGTGAAGCTCTGGGACACTTACCCTTTTTTTTTTTTTTTTAAGAGTATTTGAGAGAGAGAGAGAACACACTCGAGCCCACAAGCAGGGGTAGGAGCAGAGGGGGAGAATCATTAAGCAGACTCGCCATGGAGCTCGGTCCCGTGACCCATGAGATCATGACCTGAGCCAAACCAAGAGCTGGATGCTCAGCCAACTGAGCCGCTCAGGCGTCCCCACCGATGCCGTTTTAACCAGGATGGCTTGGCTTTTGTTTGTTATACTGATGTAGTTTTTTGGTAAGATTACCGATCAAACTATTAAAAAGTTTGAAAATCACTGGGTTGAACTAAACTGTAATTAATTGATAAGGATTGGTAGGTATCATATCAAATAGGTATCATAACTCAGGTGCTAAGAGCATAGAAACCATGTAAACCATAGTTTTAAAAGTTAACTTCTACTAATTATGAGTCTAGTAGGAATCAACTAGCCTCTTAGTTTCAATATCCTCACCTGCAAAATGTAGGTATTCAAACCTAATTTTGTAGAGTTGTTGTAAGGATTTAACTAAGTGACATATTTAAAGCAGCTACACACTAGCACTGACCGGTATATAAAATGACACTAAAAAAATGGTAGCTATTATAAATGATTATTCACTTGCTTCATTTCAGATAATTTATACAGCATCTACTTAGAGCAAACTGGCAAGGTAGTTATTTTTACTACAAGATTAGAAATCATATTTTATTTAAAGGATAAATAGAAAATACAATCTACCACTAAATTTATGATGTAGATGTGATACTTTTAGAGCACATGATCTAGGTTCCCTTTGACACGTAAGAAAAGTTACTCTAACAACGAATCAGTTTTCTTTTTTAAAGTGAACATACAATCAATCCTAAATATATTATTGTGAAATTTATAGTGTGGCAACTACTGTCCTTAAATTTTTTAAAAATCAAATGCATTCTTTTTCCAAAAATATTTTAGTTTTAGAAAATACATATGTGAAGAGAAAAATACCCATAATTTATCTTTGTTAACCTCCAGCCTCCTGGCAATTAACACCCATTCTTATCCTAGCTTATCTTTCTGGCCATTTCTTCCCACACTGCTGATCTGAGCACTTAGTTCACTATTTTCCCTACTCCCCAAATCCTGTCCTATTCCTGGATAAGTTCAATAACCTAAATTTTCTGTATTTTTCTTGACCTTTCTTCCTCCAGTGGTCATCTTCATTCTATTTCATCTACTCATTCCCTTTGCCATACTATGGCCCTACTTTTTGGAAAATCCCAAATCACTCTACTTCTAACAATAAATGTCCTTAATCCTCAGAGTTTTAATAGTTATAAAGGGCTACTTAGCCAGAGCATGTATTTCCTGGCCTCCTTTGAAGCTAGATGGCCATATGACTAAGCTCTGGACAGTAAGCTGAGAAGTGTTTGTGTGTAACTTCTAAATCAGGGCTGCTAAAAAAGAGAGCTGACAGCCTTCTACTTCCTCTTTTACTATACCCTACTCTGTGTGTCAGTACTTTTTTTTTTTTTTTTCACAGTACCCCTGGCCAAAGCAAATACCTAACAGTTTCACTGATTACATAGTTACACCCAAACAGTTTAATACTTATGTCCTAACTACACAGTAGCCATTTGCAAAACTACTACATATAAAGAAAAATAATATTTTTATTTCATTCTTAAAGAACCACAATCATTAATGGCACACATGTGTGGGGCTACTGGATACTGCACGGTTCCTCAAAACTCAAAATCAGATTGGGTACTACCGTCCTCATTTTCTGTTTCACATTAATTTTAGGTTCAGTACTTGCTTTAATTACAACCTAAATGCTAGCTTTGCAAAGACAGGTCACCAAAAATACAAGTAAACAAAAACTTATCTCAAACATTCAAGAATATCTGCCAAAGTAATGCTGCATGATCTAATGTTACAAACGTGAACTACCTTGATCTAGCAGTTTGTGCAACGTTTAACAGATGTTGATTATCCCATTCACTGTGTTTTGCTAGAAATTAAAAAAAAAATCCTGATGATACCCCTGTGAGTTTAATGTGAACCCCTGTAGTGCCTCAGCACATAGCTCTAGGGTACAGTACGGAACTATAGCTCTAGGGTATAGTTGTGTGACAAAAACAGAAGGAATTCAAATCTTCGGATGACTTACTGAAGAAGCAGAATAACTTATCTGACTAGGACTACATATTCCACATTCCACATTCTGGAATATTTTTTAAGAGACAAAAAAAAAAATCTATTTTGTGTGAGGTTTTTCTGCTCAAGTTATTTTTTAAAATATAAAAACAACATTCATATTATACTATATAAAGAAATATTTATTCCTAATTCCACCTAACCATCTTAAAACATTCTGGTAATAATTATGAAATAATTCTGAAATAATTCTGAAATAATTATATATGTAAAAACTGTCTTATTACAATGAAAGAGATTTGATTTTTCTGAAATTCTATAGGAATAAGAATATGATTTTAATTAAAGATGTAAGAATTCAAAAAAAATGAAAAGAAGTGAAACTCTACTTTCTAGATATGAAATAGAGGAAATACACAAAACAAAATATCAGAGAGTAATGAATAAATACTATAATCAAGTTATTTAGCTTAAATATAGTTTGAACTGCCTTTTTGTAATTATGAAGGCATCCAAAACCAGCAAGAAGATAAACAAGTCAATTTGAACATAAAATTTGTTTACCTGCATATTAACCTCTTTAGGAATGAGAATACTGTTGCAAGGCAGGTGCAAACTTTAAATAACCGAAACTGTGTGATAGCCATGGTGGGGATCAAATCCTGTGGAAAAAGCACAAAAATAAATGCACTGAGCTGATTTCATAAGCTGTATTCCCATTCTAAATAATACACTCTATAATCCCATTCTGATTTCATAATCTAAATTCCCATTCCCAAGCTAAAAAGTCCTATTATGAGCTGTGAAAATCAGACTTTTTTACTTTTCTTTAGAAACCACAAATATAACATGTAAATTTTATTTTATCTTAAGGATTTTATTTGTTTATTTGAGAGAGTGAGAGCGCCTGTGAAAAAGGGGTGGGGAGAAGCAGAGGGAGAGAAAGAATCTCAAGCAGACTCTGTTTGATCTCACAACCCTAACATCATTGACCTGGGTCAAAATCAAGAGTCAGGCACTCAGCCAACTGAGTCACCCAGTTACCTCAGACTCAGCAAATTTTAAAATTAAAATGTAAATCATGGGGCACCTGGGCGGCTCAGTCGTTATCGTCTGCCTTTGGCTCAGGTCATGATTCCAGGGTCCTGTGATCCAGCCCCACTGTCGGGCTCTCTGCTCAACAGGGAATGTGCTTCTCCCTCTGCCATTCTCTCTCTTTCATGAATAAATAAAATCTTTTAAAAAAATAAAAATAAAATGTAAATCATATTGACAATTCAAGAAACAAGATTTTTAAGTTTTCAGTAGTTGAGAGGAAAAACCCTTTTTGAAATATTCTCAGAATATTTTAAACTGAACTTCAATTACCTATTTATGTATTATTTTCTATGAAATATAAAAAAGCATAAAACAGTATATATTGAGTCTTTGGTACCTTTTGAAGTTTGAACCATATGAACATAACACTATTCTTTAAAATATTGTTAAACAGTTTTAACTTTTAGATAGATACATTTTATTATGCCCATTTTAGTGATGAGGAAATTTAATTTAGAGAAGTCAAATAACTTGCCCAAAGTCACAAAGCTAACTTGAAAGTAACAATAGAGATCATCTAGTCCAGTGGTTCACATATAATGGGGATCCTTTACAGAAATAATGATATCTGAGTCTAACTCCAGTAAATCAATTAAATCATATTCTCTAAGGGGCAAATTCCAGTTACACTAATAAGACTACAAAAGAGACAAAATATAGTCAACAGAAAAGTGGGGGGAGGCAGGGAAGAACAGAAAACAAGGTAAAGAGGAACAAATACCAGAGGGGACAAGAATAGGTAAAATATACCATGCCAACACTAATCAAAAAGAAGCTGAAGTGACTATTCCAATGTCAAAGAACAGATTTCAGAGAAAACATTAGCAGGCATAAAAATGGTCCTTTCATAATGATAAAAGGGTCAGTAAATCAAAAGCACAATTCAAAATATGTTAAGTCCCTAACAGAATTACGCCAATATCATAGAGAGGTGACACTACCAGAGAGTCTACAGATATTAAAAGGCTACTGATAAAATATTACAAACAACTTTATGCCTACATCTATAGGCATATAGATCTATATTTCAGTCTGAGTAGTAGCAATACCAGTATACTACATATACTGTTTGTATGTTATGCCTCATATAAAAGCTCAAACAAAAATATATAAACAAAACAGAAACACAAAGCAAGGAAACATAGTTAACTCTTGTACCTGATCCTAACTACTCTGTGGAGCCACTACTGCCATTCCCTTCAAAGTGTGAAACACATAGCTAGCTCTTTATTTCTAGAATTACAAATATAGAAAGGCCCAGTAGACTCTTTGCAGTAAGAGTTCCAAAAGGCTGCCTTAGCAAAATGCTCATACATTGAGGTTACAGCTCCACGTGAGTTCAATGATGTACTGAATGCCTGTATTTGGAGTTGACTTACTGAGAGGACGTAAACAAGTGACTCTTAAGGTATGAACCAAAAAAATTTAAGAATTTCGCTATTTGAGTAACTTAAATACTTCTGACCAAAAAAAACCCAATTAACGGTTTACTAGGTTTCAAAAAATGCAACAATTTTGACTTCTCCTTTCTCTTAGCCCCTTATGTCCAAACTGTCAAAAGACCTTATTCCATTTCCTAATACTGACCATATTCTTTCCTATTTCCACTGCAATCTCCCTAGCATAAGCCTTTATTACTTCTTGCTGGTTGGTTGTTTTTTGTTTTTTTTTTTTTTAATATTGATTTATTTGAGAGAGAGAGAGAATGAATGTGGGAAGGGGCAGAGGGAGAGAATCTTCAAGCAGAGTCCCTGCTGACCACAGAGCCCTATGCAGGGCTTGATCCCACCACCCACGCATGAGATCTTGGACTTAAGCAGAAACCAAGAGTCAGACGCTTAATCGACTAAGTCACCCAGGTGCCCCTACTATCAAGTCTTCTTAATTCCAGTATTTTTCTCTTACCACACCTAAATTCTCTACTTTGTACATGTTTCCATGTTCCCACAACCAATGACTCAAATTTAAATCTGGGTCTATTTAATACAAAAGCCAAGAACATCTCACTAACAATAAACATTCTTACTAATTCAGTGATGATATTATAATTTCCAGACTAAATTTTCCAACCAGCTATAGTGAAATGGGGAAAATGCAATCAAGTTAGCTATCAAGACTTCTGATTTTACCAATTACATTGGTTTGCAGACTGGAGTATTCTTTGGGACCCACAGTTCTAATTCAGTTCAACAAGCATATATATCTTTAGCACCTACTATCTAACAGATGCTACCCTGAGGAATGGGAAAAACTACTGACCCAGTACAGAGAAACCCTTGTTTGTTGCTCAGTTGTCACAGGCTAGTGACAATGCAAGGGAGTGAGGAGACAGAGCCCCAACCAGTCTGGTATGCCTAGGTCTTAGCCAATGCCAAGCACATAGTAGGTACTCAGCTATTTGTTGAAGGGAAATTAACATTCCTTGACCACTCAGTATGTTCAAAACATAGTTCTACACAATGTATCTTCTATCATATCACTGGAATCCTAAGAACAAAAGAGGTAAGTTCCACTATACCGGTTTAATAAATGAGGCTGACAGTGAGGCTCCAGAAGATTTAGTCACCCAAGATTTAAAGAGATTGATGCACATGACCTCAGGGTCCTGGGATTGAGCCCCACATTGGGCTCTCTGCTCAGGAGGGAGCCTGCTTCTCCCCCTCTCTGCCTGCCTCCCTGACTACTTGTGATCTCTCTCTGTCAAACAAATAAATAACATTTAAAAATAAATAAATAAAGAGACTGACCCAAAGCCTAGGCTCTCCCCACACTCCATCCTCCTTGATAAACCTTTTTATTTTATACTCATTTGCCTCAGTTTGATTTTTGGAATGCCCTCTAGGTAGCCAACTTCAGTATGCATCTTAGGCTACTTTGCACTTTGGTTACTTCAAAATACTTTCTGAAACTGAGAATTACTAATATAACCTAATTTTCAAATGAAAATTTCCTTTAAAGTTAGGAGGAAAATACAAAAACTTGAGCTATAGCAGAAAAAGGATCGAATTACGAAGCAACCTATCCTAAGGGCTGTTGGAGAAATGACCTCTAGGAAATCAACAGGAATGAGAGCTCAGTGAGGTCAAGTGAGGAAGACTCACCTACATTTTCAAAAAACACTACCTTACTTGGAAGCTGCAAGATTAAATGTATCTTTCTTCCTTGGAATTCCCTGTGAACTGCGGGTGAGATCCTTTCAACAGAGTCACTATATTACAATTTATTAAAAAAGCCAAGCCAAAATCTTTTAGCGCACACTACAGTAAGTCAGTCTTCAATAGCTGAAATTCTAAAAATATATTTCTGAAAATTTTCAATACGAAAATTTTAAAAAAACCGTATGACTTAGCACAGTACAGAGCAGCCTCAAATTCAGTTTGTAACTCTCAAGTTGATTAAGGAATATCACAAGGCTCCAAAAATAAAATTTACCTTAACTCACTTGTGTGAAAAGCCAAGGAGAAAGGGAACTCAGAGGAGAACGTGGGAGCGGGTTGTAAAGTGGACGGTACCAACTCTGGCCACTCAAAGTCAGGCCCTCAATATGTGACACGGAGACTCTTAGGTGGGCAGAGTTAAGGTCTCCTGAATGACTCAAAAGGCAAGAGTCCCATAACTAAAATGCTTTAACTTCTGATTACGCACCTGAAATTGGCTGATGGAAAAAAAAAAAAAAAATCATACCCACTGTACAGATGAGAAAAAAGGCAAGAGCGTTTTCAGGTTACACAATCCGACGCCATGCACTCGGCGCTCTAAATCGCTGGAGGTAGGCTCAGGGTAGGTTGGAATTTGGATTTTGTAAAAATCTGGGTAGGAGCAAGGCCTGTGAAGGAGGGCCAGGAAGGACAAGCAAATTTCCCTGCTGGAGGCCCATTCCGGGACTGGAGGGTTTCTGCGCCCGCGTCCCACAGGCGTGTCTCCCACGCGTGAGCGCGGCATGATGAGGGCTGCACGCCCGGGGCCCGCTCCCAGGCGCAGTTCCTTCACCCCAAGGGTCACCCGACCCGGAAACAGTACCCCCGAGTGGCAGTCGGCTGAGGAAGGGAGCAACCGGGTGGAGGGGCGAAAAGGTGGGAGGGCGGGAAGTGCGGGGCGAAGAGGAGGGCTGACCAGGGAAAGGCAGAAGACCCCCCCACCCCACCCAAGGACTAGGTTGGGTTCGGGGGCAGTTGGGGAGGGAAGCCCCTCGCGGGCACGCGCGAGTCGCACACACTCACCTGCCCCTCCCCCTCCCCGCCCGCCCGGCGGAGGCTCCGAGCTGCCGCGGGCCGCGCGCGCACACAAGGCGCGCGCACGCGCACTGCCGATTGCTTCCTCGAGCTCGCGCTCCGCCTGTTCAGTGCTAGCCCCGCTCATTCAAAGCTGGGCGCGCGCTCCGTCGCAGCCGCCGTTGCCTCAGCGCAGCTGCCATGGCCGCCCCCTCCTCGGGAAACCCTCCCTCGACCCCTCCCACTTCGCCCTCTTGGAAGGCGGTTCTCGGTGGTCTCCAGGCCCTCACTTCCGCACCCCGCCCAGATCCTGTCTGGCCCAATAGACGAGAGACCGCGGGTCCGGCGACTGGGCTAAGCCAATGAGCGCCGGGGGCGGGGCGAGCAGCGGCCGGCGTGGCTGTGCCGGGCCTCGGTCACGGGTAGGTTTTCTGTGAAGGTTGCAGGCTGTGCCGGCTGTTTTTTTGAAAAGTGCTTGGGCTTCTTCCCTGTCGTCCTGCTTTCTGTGCGGAGTACCTCCGCCCCAACCATGCCCCTTTCCTTTCTACCTACAGACTCCCCCTACCCGGTGGAACCAAAGGAAGGCCGTGTTTAGACTGCAGAAAATGAGGGATCTGCGGCCGTCTTAGGACGATGTGGCTGTCGGTAGGCCAGAATCGTTCCTCCAATTTAGGAGTGCGAAACGTTGAGGGTTTTGTTTTTTTTTTTTAAGATTTTATTTATTTATTTGACAGACAAGAGATCACAAGTAGGCAGGCAGGCAGAGAGAGGGGGAAGCAGGCTCCCTGCTGAGCAGAGAGCCCGATTCGGGGCTGGATCCCAGGACCTTGAGATCATGACCTGAGCCGAAGGCAGAGGCTTAACCCACTGAGCCACCCTGGTACCCCTGAAACGTTGAGTTTAATTCAGGACTTTGCCTGAATTTTGAAGTCTCTTTTTTTTTATCCTGTATGCTATGAAAAGGCCAGAGTTCTTTGCTTGTGGGCGAGGGGCTCTCAGAAAACTGTCTGCGACAATTTGTGTGGTCAGAGGCTGAAAGCTGCTCATGTTTTTCTGTTTTGTGACTACAACTATCTTTGTCCTGTCACCCTGACTGGCTTCCATCTACCCACTTACTTTCTAGTATCCACCCACCCCTGCACTCCGATCTGTACCACCCTTCTATTCATTGACCTGTTTATCTCCAAGAGGGGAAGAAAGAATGTTTACAACTTTTCCTCTAGAATGATTCTGTGTAAGCTTGGATACATTATTTCATCTGGAAAGCTCAGCTTCCTCATCAGTAAGAGGACCATAATAACACAACTTAACAGGATGGCTAACCCTTTCAAAGCTTTTAGGGCAGAGCCTGGCACATAGCCAACGCACCGGGTATTAATAGCTATTACCCCAGCTGCTGCTGCTGTACTACTACTACTACTACAGCTACTGCTAGTAGTAGTAGTAGTACAAGTACTAGGAGTACTACTACCACCACCACTACCACCACTGCGCTATTGCATCACCATTCCGGGTTATGCCTCCTTAAATCCACTAAATCCTCTACAGCATTTTAAACACCTGTTCTAACCTTAAACTCTTCAAACCCCTAAATTCTAAGAATTCAGCGTCTCTAAATTGTTTTGATTCCCCTAATCAATAATCCAAAATAGGCTACATCTTGACATAAACCTTGTCAAAATGTTTTTTCTTAGACACGTATCTTTGCTTCAAATTATTATATCCCTATGATACTGTTTCTTCTTTATTCTTCACTTTTCTTTATTAAATTTGCCATATCCAAATGAAATAAAACAAAAGGTATATATATTTTTCTAGAAGCAGCTAGTTAGTGAATACTTGTTTCCAATACAATAAAAGACAAAAATTGTCAAAGATTGCAAACTTAGTTTACTTTAAAAGTATCTATGAAATAATTTAAAATCATCTTTAGTCACTGAGTAGTAATTCCATAATTGGGGATCATAGATGCCAATAATGTGGGATGTTGCATGGGGACCACCTCTTGAGAGTGTGCAATTTGAAGTCCAGTCCTCTGCCCAAGGCTTGGGTGTGGTGGGGATGGGGCCCACCAAATGTCAAGTGGGAGGAGGATAAGGGATGGACTTGGTATATGAAAGATTTCTTTTTTTTTTTAAGATTTTATTTATTTATTTGACAGACAGATCACAAGTAGGCAGAGAGGCAGGCAGAGAGTGAGGAGGAAGCAGGCTCCCTGCTGAGCCGAGAGCCCGATGTGGAGCTCGATCCCAGGACCCTGAGATTGTGACCTGAGCGGAAGGCAGAGGCTTTAACCACTGAGCCACCCAGGCGCCCTGAAAGAGCTTTCTTAATTGCCGGTACTCAGTGTGTTACAGTTAATTCTACCTGCTCTTTGTTCAGACTGCTTTGCCTACTTTAAATTCTCTGATTTTCCTCTGCCCAATCCCCAATCACCAGCTCGGTTTATTCACTTTTATCAGCATCCAACTCACCATTTAATTTCCCAAGTCAAAGCCTTTATAAGCTTTGTTGCTCTGAGTTCTCCCAGTGGGTCTGGGCAGTGTTTTGTCAACAGACCTCCCGTCTCTGCCCAGTAGTTGGGGCAGACAGGGAGACCTTGCAAACACAGCCCAGTACTTCCCAATCTCCATAACCCAGTTCTCTGGCTTTTCACTAAAGGGATGGTTTTTTTCCTCAAGCATAATTTTAGACCTGCTGTTTTGACTTGGACTGTAATGGCTTTTTGTTAATGAGCAGCTGTCCACGGTTGAATGCAGTTTATAAAGTCACATTCATTTCTTGAGCAAGCAACACAAAGCCTTGGAGCTCACAGGGACAGTTTTGAATAGATATGTTTGAGAGCAAAGGATATTCTGATGATAATTTTAATGGATTGTTTTATTGATCTTTCTATTCTAGAGAATTGTGCTTCCTTTCAAAATCATACATTTTAATATTCTGGAAAATCATAACATTTTTTAATCTCCATCATCACCATTTAACAGGGTCAGTTGCTTAATAGAGAAACCAGCAAGTCTGAAGCAGCTTTTTACATTTTTCTGTTAAAATAAACTTGACTCTCTCTGAAGCATTTAAATATTTTCTATTATAAATATTAGTACAGTGTATCTTTATAATGATTTTTATTGCTAAACACAGGAAGATCCAAGGTTTAAGAACAATTTAGAGTTAACCAAGTTAACCTCTGGAAGAAGCCTCGCTAGGAATAGAGAAAAATAATCTATGTCCTTTGTCAGAAATGGCTTCAAATGAAAAGATATCACGAATTCTTCACTTCTGTGTTTCGGGAGTGAGGTGCAACCATGTACTACCTCTTGGCCACATTGTTATTAGAGCTATGATCTAGTTCAGCTGTATTATGAGTTAAGTAGACTTGATCTGAGCAGATCTGGCAATGTAGGGCCATTTATTATTTCTAAGGGTAAATGTATTGGGATTCACACAAGTAACAGCTTGTCATACGTATAACATGATCTGTCTTATACATGAATTGAAAACTTAAAAATGAAACAACGCTAAACCAACAAAGCCCAGTTCATTCAGCTATAACATGAACAATAGCTATAGCTTGAACACGTTTGAGCCTTAATTTTCTCATCTACAAAATTAGATTAATAATTCCTCCCTCATAGGATTATTTTACAAAGTGGCATAATGTATATGGAAATGTGTTGGAAACAAAAGCAGATCAATGAAAGTTTTATCATCTTCAAGTGCAATAGAATCTTCTTTCTGCTCACAGCAGGGAATAGAGCTTCCAGGAAAACAGGAGAAAATTTTCTGTCACCAGCAACCAGAAATAGACACGTTTTGTTAGTTACACATAAAAAAGGGGAAAGAAGAGTTTTAAAGTTTTGATCTGAGTACATCCCCTACCTCCTTTGTCTCTTTGATTTTAAAGACAGAGGGTGGAAAAAATAGCTGTTACAAGGAAAGCACCCACAACCCTACCCTCTCTGTGCTTTTTCTCACTTCTTATGGGACATGTTGCTCATAACGGGGTCTGTTGCCAAGTTCTGTCCATTCTTTCTTTTCATGTCCATCATTTTAGCACACCAGAATTCTCATAATGATCTCTTAACTTTTGTATTTTATGTTTTCCTTCCTCTGAGTCAGCTTGGTACTTTGCTGTATGATTAATATAAGTATTTTTAAAGCTTCTTCACAATAAATGTCCCGTTCAAAACAGAGATTTGCTATTGTCCATCAATTCAAATTCACTTGGGTAATCATGTGTCTCGCTTTTAATCTCTTAATTTCAAACTGCTGTTCCTGAATCCCCCTGTGACCACCTCTGGCCCGTTAAAATATCAGACGTGCCGACAATTCTTGTTAGAAACATTTGTCTGTATATACTATATATTTCTTCACTCACCTCCTCACCATGAAATATATATTTCTTGGTGTGGTTTTTATCTGAAGTTAAATCCTTTACAAGTGAGAATTAAATCCATGTTATAACCATACTTGATATTTTCAGTATAAAAAGCTTAACATATTTATTTTCTCTCTTCCTAGGGAGAACTTATATGCATAAAGGATCATCTGCCTGAATATATAAATTACTCTAGAGAAAAGCCAAAGGAAAATACTCTTGCCATGTAACCAGACACATTCATAAATATCCTGCCCAAAAAGAATCATTTTTTTCTGCTCACAGGCTCTGAGCCCATTACCATAGCAACCATAACTCGTGTTGTCTAACTGGATGTGAATTTTATACACTTGTTATTTGAAATGTTAAGGCAGTAAGTTAGGATAAAGTGTAATTTCTATAATATTTTGGAAGGACTTTTTTTATCTCAGAAATCTGGTAGAGGAAAAGTTTCTTCGTGCAGTTTATTCATTTGTTTAATGAAACCATTTCTTCCACGCTTACCACGGGCACAGTGTGTGTGAAGCATGTTAGAGAAGTCAAAGACATAGACAACCCTTAACCCAAAGGAACTTCTCTAATGAAATCAGCTTGTCATGGGTGAACAGAATTTCTGAAAGAGAAGTTTTTTAATAGGGAGTTCTCTAATTTTAGAATAATCGGATCATCACTCACGTAGGGTAGTAGGACCTGTAAGTAAGATGCCAAGAGGGTTATAGCTTGTCAGATTGTCCCCAGGTATTCAAGCACCTACTATAACCCCTATGGCAGGTCCTTTTCTTTTTAATCTTACACACTGTGTCTGTAGCTACTCTCCATAGAAATGTTTCTTTCATCAG